CCTCCAGGGTAGGGGAGAGCACCACCTCCCTTGGGAGCCCATTCCAGATTCTGGTAACCCTTACCGTGAAAAAGTTCTCCCTGATGTCCAATCTAAATCTGCTATCAGTTTGTGGCCATTGTTTCTAGTTACCCCAAGGGGCACTGTCATGATGCGGGGTCCCCGGGGATGGCCGTGATGTCCCTAGGGCTCCGTGACCATGACAGCTCCGCCCTACGGGTGCCTTCTAATCTCGCCTGCCACGTCTTGCTGCTGGTAAAAATTATATATAGGGAGACTGCCCTCAAGTTACGTCTCAGTCACGGTCCTGGTGGTCCCCCTAAACCCTGCAGGTTATTGGACCCTTTGATAGGCCCCGCTTTCAGTAGGTGACTTATGAGACACCACAAGCATTATGAGCTAGATGCGTGGTTCCTAAGCTTCCCCTTCACCACAACCCATGCCTCAAAGGTGGTAATTAAACATTGTCCCTTTTTATGAGGCCTCCATCTAGCTCATCTCTAGCTCACCCTCCTGTCGTCACTAAGCCCTGGGCCCTTGTAACTGCGCCATCTGGCACTGGGGTCTCCCCCCCTCCCCCCCCCGGTGCTGGACCCTCCACAGCCCTGTCACTGCACCCTCTGACACTGGGACTCTATGTGGTAGTGTGCCCCATTGAGGTCTCCTCTGCCCCAATAGCCTCATCCCAGTCCGCCGGAGTACAAACAACAACCGAAATATGGGCCCCTGGGCTATAGTGAAATATAAATGGTGCAGGGTGCACTCTGTCTCTTTAAAAGAGGCAAACTTCTCCCCAAGCATTAAGTGCCTCACAGCTTGGGGAACCTGATGAGCTCCTGGAGCCCCATTAGTCCTGTAAGCAGCATATCAGGCAGCCACAGTGTCTCTGGGGAGTTCATCACTGCAGGAGCTCCTTCCCAACCCTGGGGTTTATGTGTCCTTCCAGTCCCAGCCCTGGGGTTTGTGTGTCCAGGGCCCTGCCTTCTTCTGGTCAGCTCTCTGGGTGCAGATGTAGGCTAATTCCCTCATTAGTCTGCTGCCATGGCAACCTACACCTGTGGGGGCTCTGCCTGTCTCCTAGAGTCCTCTCTCTAGGCAGTTTCTGCTGTTAAAGGAGCCGGCACTTTAGTGCCCTGCAACAGGCATCCTGGTAAATAGATTATCTCCTATTCCTTACTGCTCCCCCCCTCCCCACAATGAATTTGTAGACGGCCACAAGATCACCTCAGCCTTCTCTTGCGGAGGCTGAAGAGATCCAGGTCCCTCAGTCTCTCCTTGTAGGGCCTTACCTGCAGTCCCCTAACCATATGAGTAGCCCTCCTCTGAACCTTCTCAAGGTTATCCACACCCTTCTTGAAGTGCAGCAGCCAAAACTGGATGCAGTACTCCAACTGTGGTCTCACCAATGCCGCATAGAGGGGAAGTATCAGCTCCTTAAACCGGTTTGTGATGCACTTGCTAATGCATGATGGAGTGAGGTTAGCTTGCAGAAGTCTCCTGTACACCAAAGGGAGTACAGGTTACTTTTTAGTAAGCCAGTTATAAACTACACCCCTCTGTGGCTGCCAAAATACAGAATTAGAAAATGATTAACCTTACATTTACCACCAAATAAGCAGCATTCATTTAATGATGCATAGCAGCCACATCCCACTTGGGAAAAAGAAAGGATTTTTTGGTCCAGCTCATCTCATTTTTAACTCAACAACTGTCAAATCCTTACTTGAGAAACATACTGTATGGCCTCTAGCAAGTGTCAAGCCTACTGGGAATACAGGAAATCTGACACTAATAGTTTGGATAATTGTTTGCTGGGGAGTTCAAAGGTGTTCTTCAAAGTTTGCTTTGTACCCTGCAGCGACAGTATTAATTTGTACATAATCAGACTCTAATCTGTTTTGGGAATGCTCTTGCAAAATATCAGGCTATCCTAGAGATCACTGTGTGCCTTTGGGGTCCCCAGGTTTGAACCAGGAGAGGCAATACATTTTAAAAGCATGGGTGTTTCATTGTGACTTCAAGAGACATGGGGTCTATTCCCAGCACTGCTATTGAGTGACTATGTGATCCTGAGCAGGTTACTTTTTTCCTGTTCCCTCTTTTTCCCTCTCCTCCAGCAAAGAGTCTAATAAGAACATCTAGACTTTGAAACCAAAACTCTGCTGCTGTAAAGTTAGTGGCAGCTTTTTCATGTATCATTTGCTGGGTTAATAACATGAGAGAACTTCATAATTCTTCTGAAAGTAAACTAGTGTTTTTGAAGCATATCCAGTACATAGAGGAGTTCATTCTTTTGCAGTGCATATTTCACGTGTAATTTGTTTTTCACTGTTTTCACCTTCTTTCTTCTTTCTCTTTTTTCTGAAATAGATTCTAAGGACTCGAAAGAGAAGAATAAAATGGAAATCCTATACATACTGGTGCCAAGTGTTACCATTCCCCTGGCTATAGCCCTGCTATTCTTCTTCATCTGCATCTGCCGTAACAATCAGAAGTCTTCCTCTCCTCCAGTCCAAAGACAACCCAAACATGTCAGAGGGCAAAATGTAGAGATGTCAATGCTAAGTGCATACAAACCAAAGGTAATTCTGCACCTTATCTCTGCCTTATAAATTGCTCTCTCTAAAAGCCCAGAGTAGTGTTCATAGTATCATAGTGCTTAGGATTGGAAGGGACTTAAATAGATCATCAGGTCCAACCTCCCGCCCCGGGCAGGAATGAGTGCTGGGGTCATAACACCCCAGCCAAATATCTATCTATTGTTGTTTGATCAATCCAGATTTAAAACATTACCCAATTGATTTCCAACACACTGCATCTGTTAGCACATTTGGATGAAGTTTTTGAAAGCATTTCTACTGTCATCAGCAACTTGCATATCATGGTTTGCAGTATATTTCCATATGGCCAGTCATTACTGGCTAAAAAGAAACTGGCATTAGTTTGAACAAAGTATGCAACCATTTCATAAGTGGGCTTGAATTGCGCTTTTCATTCGGAGGCCTTGTTCTAGTTAGTGAGTGTGGGGAAGGATGAAGATGCATTCTTTTATTTTATTGAATGTAGCAGGAGGCTTTTTTATCTAGATCAGCTGTATTTTTGCTTCACCTGTTGCTCAGCTGAAATCGCTTTAGCCTGATTTCTTCCTTGTGTGTCCAAGCTCACACATTTTTCTAGCTACAAGAGAAATTATCAAAATGAAGACTCAGAAGTCTAATTACATGTACTGTGCCTGCCTCAGTGATTTATAGAGACCCTGTTCACAAATGGCACTTGGCAGCTACTGATGCCCCTTAATGTAACACCAAATTAGTGACGCACTTGTTAAAGTTAACATGCAGCCTTACAAATGAGGCAAAGCCTGCAAAAGTGATTAGCAGCCAGCTTATTGTTTGTTCTCAGGCCAGCAGCTGAAAGTACACATAGCAGTCACTTTTCTGGCTGCAAATGAGGTTCTGCCACCTACAGGCAGAAGAGAGTAGTTTTAAAGAAATCACCTTAATTCCTCATCCCCTGCCCATCCTCTTTAACAATAGAAAGTCCTTAGATGCATTTCACAATGCAAATCAGTGTCTAAAACAAAATTCATTAGAAAACTTCATAAATAATCTAGACATACCTGTTGGCAAGTATTTTTTCTTAGAAAATGATATAGCAAAATGAATCCAAATTTGTAATTAAATTTAAGTATTAAGAGCAACATGAACCAGAGATTTCTTTCTACAGACACTGCTGCCAAATGCATTCTTTCAGTAGAGCTTATCTTTGAGTCTAAGAAATAGTTAATTTTATACTTTTATTCTATTGTGCTTTCCCTGTGTGCAGATGTTCAGGAGCTGTGATCTGTTTTAGGTCTGATAAAGCAATCAGGAGAGACATGACCACTAATTGCTTTTGAGTATCAGGTATATAGAATTGGCTGTAGCATAAGTGACTTAATTAAATAATCCTTTGTATTTTGAATTTTTTTTTTGTATGCCCACATGACCTGATCCCCACCAATTCCTTTTCCTTGTCATCCTCCTTTTCAAGTCAGGCTTTAGGGTCTTACACAGGGAGGACAGAGAGAGCTGTTTTCATGATTTATGCTGTTCCATTCTGGAAGTCTGATTGCATATGTCTGTGTAGTTCCAATAAAAGTTTAAAAGAGAGAGAGAATTTCTCTGTGTTATAGGCGGAAGCAACTTGGGGCAGAGGCTGAAGGATCTTACAGGGAAATATCCTAGCAACGTGCAAGGACAGCAGAAAGTTTAAATCAGGGTTAATCTTTCGTTATTAAGGGTCTTGTGGCATGGAACACTTGGCACATGTTCTCTCTGTAGACCATCATATGCTCTATCAAAAGGGTTGCTTGTTTTGGTTGGGGTTTTGCCCTGCTCTGGATAGGGCTGGAACCAGCTGTACCCCCCACTCTCCTTCCCCAGACAGGCACTGCAGGGAATCTGACGCTGTTTCTTGCCTGCCTGCCTCACAGAACCCAAAGTTGTCCAGCAGGACAAGTGCCAGCAGGAGCACTCTAGCTGCTGAGATGCATCAGCCCTGCGCCAAAGGCACCGCTTGCTGCCTATGCCTCAGCGCTGATCCCCGCTGGCTCCTTTTCCTCTTTGTCCTACTTTGCACCCCCACGCCCAGAGCCTGCACCCTCCCTCCAAATGTCTAGCACTGCTCAGCCCAGGAGTGCTTACACCTGGGATGCCAGGGTAAGCCATGTCTCTGCCACTGGCAGCAAGCAGAGGCAGGCATGAGGAGTTGAGCCTGGGAGGGGTACCGCTCCTGCCTCTGGATCTTGCTGGTGCCAGGAGGACTACGTATTACTTGTTTGATCTCTGTGGAGCACTCTGAGAATAGGTAAACCTGTGTACTTAATACAATCTGGAAATACTCCTTGGGCAAAAAGTCTTAATTTTCCTACAATACAAATACACTGAGCACATGTTTTACTGCTTGAATGCATGGACGGTTGGTTTTAAGTGCAGCTAACTTGTCTTTAGTGTAACGTGTGACATGGCTCTAAGTTAACAGGAAAGGTAAAGCCACAGCACACACTGATTTGAGAAAACAGAGTAGTGACTGCCCAGGCACAATACAACATGAATAATAAGAGACCATTTTCAGATAGGACCTTTTTGTTTGGAAGCATTTGGAGACACCTTGGACAGAATCAATCCTTGGTATATTTAACCGATTTGCAAAATTATAGAAGATGATTTTTGGCTGCAGACCCCAGGAAAAGTACATCTGGAGAGAAATATATATACTGTAGACATCCCCTTTCAAAAGTAATTTTTTGATTAATTAAAAGGCTGAGCCTTTTGGATAGGACAGGATATAAACTAAAAAAAAGTAAATGCAACCTAAACAAAAAAACTTATCGCTGAAACTTTGACAGTGGAACCTCATTTAAGAAGTAAGCCTAGGAATTCAAGAAATGGGGATGGGTTATGGGTTAGTTAAAAAGCCTGTGAGACCCAAGTCATTAAGCTGGATCTGACCTTCCCCCAATTTTAGCCCTGTTTGAATCCAAGTTTTTCATTCAGCTCATTCGTAATGAGAATTCAGTGCAGTATCTGAAAAATGCTAAGTGATGCATACTATGGCTAACCTGTATAGTTATAGGTATACATGTAATATAAGCTATGGGTTTTGGTTTAAAATGTTAGCTAACACTCCTTACTACTGATATCATGTGTTTGTCTCAGTGAGGACCTCTATATCATTGTACAGTTCATGGTCAGAAGTGCCATGCGTCTCCTCCTGTTTTGCGTTTGTACTAGGGACAGAAAGCTACAAAAGAGGATGATGTTTGTGCAGTGAAGCACTCCAGCACTCTGATGTTTAGCCAAACCTTACCCTTTGATCTCTATAAGATTTCTGGAAGTTGTGAGAGAGAATTTCCACATAAGCTCTCTGTTTGTTTGAGCTGGTTATTAAACCTCCTGAAAAGTAGCCTGGTCTAACCATTGGAACTTGTTTGGGGTGTCAAAGATACAGCCTGCAGCTTGGATCTGTCCTACAAAGCCATATTATGGGGTCCCTGGTGCTGCCTGTGGGTCATGCAGTGACCTACAGGCAGCATGCAGGTTGTGCTGGATGGCCACGGATGATTCCCACAGAGTGGTGAAGCAGCTGCCACATGCAGCATAGCCCCTGAGCAGTCGTGTGCACTTCTAGGGCCGTGCTAACAACTGGAACAGGACTGGACTGCAGGGCCCACCTGTAGATCCAGTCTGGCCTGTAGACCAGCCCCACACCACTCATGTGGCCTACGTGGCCAAATGAGTTTGACACCCCTGAATTAGATCATAATTGGTTCAATCTATGCAGTGTAGACTAACCTGTGAAGATTGAATTGATTCAGCCTTGAGCTTTTTCACTGTATGTAGCCTTGGGGAGTCTTAAGCTGCATACATAGTGCTTCCCTGTCAAACCCATAGCTGCGGTCAAGATATAAGCCCTGCCCAATTGCTCCTGCTCCGTCTGCACCCACAACCGGCAAATGGGCAGGATAGACATCTTGGTGGAGTCCTGAGTACGTGCCCCAGTGCAGGAGAACCTAAGAGGAAGTCAGGCTTGGTAAGGAAGTGCTAGAGACATGGCCTAAGTGTCCGGAGGGGCTACAGTATTCTACACACATTCCTTAAATCACAGAGACATATTCTTGGTAGTCTATGCATATTATGCAAAATCACCCAGAACTTGACCTGCTTGCCATTTGCAAAACATTCAGTCCAATGAATACATGGCACAGGTGGTTATCTTGTGTGATTTTTTTTTTTTTTCCTCCCTTAAAGCTACTGATTTTTTATTTTAAGAGACAATCTGGTAGAGAATATATGCTAATACCCATTCAAAAATCACACCATAGCTGTAATGTATAGTATGTGGTAAATTAAATGTACACTCAAAAAAACCAAACCCCTACTACTAACCTCCCTATATTTTTACTGCATCTGGTTCCAAAGTTTGCATCATATGCATCTCTGCATGGAAGTATTTTATACCTGGGAAGAATTGTGGCCCGACTGACATTTGGAGCATCCAAATTCAATGAGCTCAGGGTTTCACCCTTGGCCATTAACACATTGATGCAATACACACATATGAGCACAGTGGCTTGTCCAGAAATGTTTGAGAAAGTAGACCACGGTGTTTTCTTTTTAGATTTAAAGTAATACGCTCAAAAACTCTGATTTCATGTATGCCAATTCTGTGTTTTCCCATTAGGTAAGCATCTCCCCTTGTTTTGATCACCTTCCAAACAGCATTTAAAAGGACAGGAAATAGATTCCCACTTTAAAATATTGTATCCAATATTCATGTCAACTTAGATAAAAATGATCTTAGAGTTAAAACTTATACTGAGGTGGATGTGTGTTAACTCTTACAAATAAAAATGTTAACATTTAAGCCAAAAGCCAGTTTCAGTTTTAAGGGACCTAGCTGCCTTAGAGAATATAATAAACTGAACCCATCTTGTCATTCAACTAATGCAAGCAGCTGATAAAGAGATAGAAGTAGTGGGCTTCATTCTTTCTTTTTTCCCTTTGTACTTGGTTTACTTTGGCGTGATGCCTCATATGTATTTTACACTTCTTTACATTTTGTACACCACTGTATGACAAATACTTGTCAAACAAAAACTAAGCAGATTTATAACTGCTTAACTTGAAATGAGCCCTTCCTGCCAAAACTTTATGACTTCATTTTCTTTCATAGTTTTCCACTATGTTGGTTCAAACAGACAAACCCTGCCTGAGGTCGGACCAAGGTCATTTCACTTTCATTACTAAAATATAATTTACAATATGCCAGACCTAAACAAGTTTTAGCCTAAAGGATTTGTATAATATAAACCATCTGTTCTTCAACAATACAGCTAATTTCCTGCCATCACCATACAGTCTACTGGCTGCATGTTTAAATGGATTTTTTTATTTTTTTTACTGGTGAAGTACTTATCTGAGATTGTTAGTGGTCAGTACAATTAATGCATTAACTCTGAGCAGGCAACTTGGAAATGACTTTTTTTTTATTGTAAATTATTTGTCCAGGTTACACACACAAAACGGTGCTGATTAGTATTCCAGGAATGTAAATGCTAATCTTTCTGACTATGCTGTTTTCCTAAATGTAGATTCCAAAGTTAGATTCTTAATTCCATATTAAGGCACCTAAATGAGTGGCTTTTATAGTCAAAGGTGATGAAAACCTTCAAGACTTATGAAAAATGAGGTGATTTATTTAGGAGTCTAAATATGAATTACTCTGCTCAAATTAGCCAATAGGTTTGAAAAGTTTGGAACCTTCTCTTTTGGCCATCTGATGTTTTTCCAACCTATTCTGTCCTGTGTTTTTTTTAGGGGATTGCATATTCACTGACACGTAAATAGAAGTAATTTCTTTTGCACACTAAGTATTAATAACCAGCTTATGAATTAAACTTAATTGGATCAAAAACAGGTTTAAAAATAAATTTACATCAGACTTATAGGCTCTAATTTAGTACATGCTTAAGCTGAACATAGGTGTAGCCAAAATGAAATTAATTTAATATACCAAAAAAAGAATTGCTGGAGGACTTTGCTACAGTACAGACATAATGGGCCTTATATTAAGAATTGCGTTTACTTCTGTTTAGCCTTATGTGGATGCTGGAGTGTGTTATGCCATTTATTATAGGGAGATCCTCCTACCTCATAGACAGCTATAATAAAGAAGCTTTCATGGAAGATCTACATGGATACTGTGTATTGGCATCTTCCAAATTCCACCTGATGTACAATACTAGTGCATCTCTGCCACTGCCTACATCCCATGTACCGGGGAACAGAGCTCGCATGTAGCTCAAATTAACAGTGCAGGGGCCTACAGAGATTCCCTTCAGGTCTCCTCCTCTCACCCAAGAGAAGTACAGTTTTTAAGTTGTACCTAGTATTGCAGTGAGGCACAGGCATTTGGGGTCTCATTAGCAGGCTCTAGCTGAGGTATTGTTTGTTTAGCCGGGGGTGGGGGTTGACCCTATTATTCTAACATATGTCTTTTGTTGATCGTAACAGAGCAAAGCTAAGGAATTGCCACTTTCTGCTGTTCGATTTATGGAAGAACTGGGTGAATGTGCTTTGGGCAAAATCTACAAGGGGCATCTCTATCTTCCTGGCATGGACCATGCTCAGCTTATTGCTATCAAGACACTAAAAGACTTTAACAATCCACAGCAGTGGGCAGAGTTTCAGCAGGAGGCATCTCTGATGGCAGAACTTCATCATCCTAACATTGTCTGTCTCCTAGGTGTTGTGACTCAGGAACAACCAATCTGCATGCTTTTTGAATACATGAACCAGGGGGACCTTCATGAATTTCTTATCATGAGATCACCACACTCAGATGTTGGATGTAGCAGTGATGAGGATGGAACTGTAAAATCCAGTCTGGATCATGGGGATTTCCTGCATATTGCAGTTCAAATTGCAGCAGGAATGGAATATTTATCAAGTCATTTTTTTGTCCACAAAGACCTTGCTGCTCGCAACATTTTAATTGGAGAGCAACTTCATGTGAAAATTTCGGACCTTGGACTATCAAGAGAAATCTATTCAGCGGATTATTACAGAGTTCAAAATAAGTCCCTCTTGCCAATTCGTTGGATGCCGCCAGAAGCCATTATGTATGGCAAATTCTCTTCTGATTCAGATATTTGGTCCTTTGGTGTTGTCTTATGGGAAATTTTCAGCTTTGGACTTCAGCCATATTATGGGTTTAGTAATCAAGAAGTCATAGAGATGATCAGGAAACGGCAACTGTTACCGTGCTCTGAAGACTGTCCTCCCAGAATGTATAACCTGATGACAGAGTGTTGGCATGATCTTCCATCTCGGAGACCAAGATTTAAAGAAATCCATGCCAGGCTGCGTTCTTGGGAGGGTCTTTCAAGTCACACTAGTTCCACGACTCCCTCTGGTGGAAATGCCACCACTCAAACAACTTCACTCAGTGCAAGTCCAGTTAGTAACCTAAGTAATCCTAGATACCCTAATTACATGTTTCCAGCACAGGGTATACCACAAGGCCAAATTGCTGGGTTCATTGGACCACCCATACCTCAAAACCAACGATATATTCCAATCAATGGATACCCAATTCCTCCAGGATATGCTGCTTTTCCAGCTGCCCATTATCAACCACAAGGTCCGCCCAGGGTTATTCAGCACTGCCCACCTCCAAAGAGTCGTTCTCCAAGCAGTGCAAGTGGATCAACTAGCACTGGTCATGTGACTAGCTTGCCATCTTCAGGATCCAATCAGGAAGCAAATATTCCTTTGCTATCTCATATGTCAATTCCAAGCCATCCAAGTGGAATTGGTATAACAGTTTTTGGAAACAAAAGTCAAAAACCATACAAAATTGACTCAAAGCAGTCATCTTTATTAGGAGACTCCAATATTCATGGACCTAATGAATCTATGATTTCAGCAGAGTTGTAAATAAGTGAGGCCTTTGTAAATATAACTATTTACAATACAAACTAGAAAGACATAGTAAAGATTTATATTCAAATATTTTATTAAAGATTCTTATGGTTGTTCAGACATTTGCAACAAGTATCTTCTGTGAAGTTTAACTGTGTTTAACAGGATAGGCAAACACCAACCAGACAAAAACCATTGCAGTGTGGACACTGAACGTCATGGATGAGCGCATCATTCCTCTAAGTACCAAAACAAATCTTAATCCAAACGGAAAAATAAGTTTTAAAATAGTTATCACACACCTATTACATCTCTTTAACTATGAGATATGGTGTAAGTCACAGCAGCTTTATTATTTGGAAACATATTTTGTTGTTGGTCTCTTTTTTAGGAGATGCAAACTATTCAGAGATTTATTGGATGTGCAATTCCAATATCTAGTTTAAACGCTTATAGATTTTACAGCGAAGAATGTTGTTTCAAATATGTGATCCCGTGGCTGGATAAATTACTTCAGGTAGGATTTTGCTTTTTATATTAAGGTGGGAGTCTGAGTTCAGATTCAAACCAAAATAATTGAATATTTTTTCTATTACTGCATAAAATGTAGTCATGACATACAGTAGCATGAGTTATCAACTCACAGGCTGCTAAAATAGTCTGGCAATGTCTGATGAAAGTAGTTGGAGTTACAAGAAATTGCCTTAAAGGAAGTTAAATTTACTTTCTGAATGTGAATTGACTGATGACATTTGCATTTGATAATTTTTTATATATGTAGTTAAAATAAAATTTTGTATCCTTTTGTTGCTATGCAACTGTTTTATGAAAAAGTTCCAAACAACAATTTTAAAGAAGACAATCAATTTTCCCAGGAGTATTTATTGTGTCATATAGGTATATAATTTCAATGACTGCGGCCAGGTAGACATTAGACTTTTATAGGTGTAAGTGATCAGAAACTGGTCTTATACCTGTAACAACAGAAGTTAGGCACACGTAGACAAGTTTAAAAATGGTGGAAGCCAGTCTAAGATTTTCCCCTCCCCCACCAAAGGGAAATGTGTATTCTTTTTGCTACTGATCTAAACTATGCTGTTCACAAGAGAGCTGTGTAACTTAGATTGAGTCCACCTTGGGCTTTTTGAATGTCTGTACCTAGCCTATGACTCCAGGAGCAGCCCCCCAGAAAGGGAAATCCACATTCCATCGGGCAGCAAAGACATGGTGGCAACTTTGCCTATCAGTTCAAATAATGTGAATTAGAGTGAACTCTTTTAGAACTACAACATTTGTAATATTATTAAAAGTCATTCAGGTATAATCAGTCTAGATTATTCATTTTAAAACCACTTTAATGATTTACAAAAGTACTTTGTACATTACAGCTTCTCAGAAACTCGTTTTTTGTATTAAATCGTATTTTTTACATACACGTAATGAAAACAATCTTTTCCTCAGTTGATAATGTTGTATAGTATGACTGCCTTTTCAAATTTTTTTGCACAAAAGTGTGTTAATGTTTTGTACAGCAGAAGTGAAAATACTTCTCTGCATTTTATATCTTGGTCTGTTTCTTTTTGGTTTTTTTATACCTGATGTAGATGTTTTTTAAATATATTATGGTGATATTCAGCCACTACCTTATACTTATATTCTTTGTGTTTTCACTGCATGCATTTAATCACTGTATTACTTGATGATTGATTTATACGTATGGGCATTTCAATTAGGCAAGCATGAAAATGTAATAACAAAGGCTATTTTATAATGAAGATACATGCATTTTTTTGTATTTCACACATCAGAGATTTATATTAAACACTGATTATTTTATGCTGCTGTTTATTAAAATATTGTTTTAATATAAAATATCAGTATTCCTGAATCTTGATATAATAGGTATTTGGGAGCCTCCTATTGATGAAGAGCTAAATCCTGCTTGCTTCACTCAGGTGACAAGACCGCTGAAATCTAGAATAGCAACCCAGCTGAGTGAGGCAAATTAGGGTTTGCCAATAATAGTTGCTAATAAATTATTTAAGGGAAATGTACAATTCTTAAATTCTATTTAATGCCTGACTATGCAGTTATTTTGAGAGCACATAAAACGGAAAGGATAACAAAATTCCTTTGAGTACAGGATTCATTCTGGATTATTCTCTATAGGTGAAGTTCGCATCAGTAAAGATCTAGCACAGCACTTGAACTTCTTGTTAAAGGCATAAATCTGGCCAGGGTGGCCAATCTGCAGCTCCAGAGCCACACACAGCTCTTCAGAAGTTAATATGCATCTCTTTGAATCTTTGCACAAGCACACGGTGACCAGCTTCCATCTGGTCACCATGTGCTTGTGCAAAGATATAGGCCTATGGACATTGTTGTGGCATTAGAACCATCAGTGATTGTACAATAAGTTCCTTTACGATGTCACACACAAGTAACTCATGAAGCAGGTAGATCAGCTTAGATCTTGTATTTTTCATTAAAATATCTGTGGTACACAAGCTAAAATTTAGTTTTGATTCATGCATCAGTTGTTAATTGAATTTATATTAAACTTCTGCATGGATATTCAGCTATCGTTGCTTCACACTATTGGCTGCTCAAAAGTTAATATATAGGGCAGTGGAGTTTTATATCCTTTGATCACATGTTGTTAATGGAGAAACTGGCACATCTTTTCCTAAAAATATAAATTAGGGAATTTCTCTTTGTCACTGGGTGTGTCTCACATGTTCCCCACTGCGCAGTTGTGATTGCGCAGTCATTTAGTGACTGCACAGTAACCACTTACTGTGCAGTCCTGCTGGTGCATAGGTTGTTTCCAACCCTACCGTGCAGTAGCAATGAGCAATTTGTGCCCGCCGATGCTACGTCACCTTAGCTACATAGCATCTCCTGTAGACAAGCCCGCTCTCATATATACTCAATACAGTCCTGTTGAGGTCCTGCTCAAGATGATTGCATTCTCATTCCTGATCGGTCCTTTCCATCCGGTATTCCCTCCCACCCTGCTTTTATAAAGTAGTTATATTACTGCAAACCTCTCACTCATGTGAAGGATGAAACATGCTTAAATTTGCTCCAGCCTTGTTATTAAGCAGTTTCTTAGCCTATCTCATTAAGGGTTAGAGAAATCAGCAGTGCTGATTGAAAATCAGGCTGTTACTTCATGAGCATCTGGTTCCAGTACAAAAAAAACCAAACATGTGCAGACAATCAAGGCTTGTGGCCCATAGATTATGCTGGTGCAACTGCAAGTAACAGCTCTGGACCAGAGCTGATATGCAGCTTTTCATGAAAAGTACCTTGTTGGAAGGTGAAGCTGAGATTTTTAATTTGCTACTGTTACATAAATCCTCTTGTTGAGCAAAGTGATAAAGAAACGAAGAGCATCATCATGATAACTCTTATCACACAACAAAATTTCTAGTTGAGTAGTTTGGAGAAAAAAGTATTATGACAATATTACAGGAAAAAGTACCTACCTACGTCAGTCACAATGGTTGGAGTCTTAGGGCTGTGTGAAGCTTTGGTCCCTGATTTGATTCAGGAGAGTTTTGGCCTGATTCAGTGGCCAAATCTCCGAATCCAGATTGAATCAGGAGACCCTTTAATCTCTCCAAATCTAATCGGAACCCTCCGAATTGATTTGGAGAGATTCGGAAACATTCGATGATTTGGACATAGACACAGCTTTAAATGTTTTTTCTAGATACCTCAAGGTACCAGGCTACTTGTAAACGCTGCATGGTGGGGTGGATGGAGCATTCCACAGGAGCACGGGAGTAGTGGACCCAGCTCAGTGACTGGTGCCTCCTGGGTCTGGGGGGGTCACCCAGGGTCCCCCCGCATCCAATCCCCGAGCCAGGGGGACTCAGGGGGGCCCCCACCATGCTCCCTGGTGGACCCAGAAGCGGCCTGGAAGTACTTCCAGTCCACTTCCAGGTTTACTGCTGAGCACATGGGGGGGCCCCCCATGCTCCTGTGGGATGCTCCATCCGTCCCAGCATTGCAGCATTCACGAGACATGCCTGGTATCTCAAGGTACGTAGAAAAAACATTTAAAACTGTCTACAGCCGAATCATTGATTCTGCAAATCGCCATCGAATCTTCAGGTTCAGATTCGGCTGAATTGAATCAGGGACAGTGATCCAAATCAACGAATTGAATCACTGTCCCCAATTCGGGCCAAACCCAAATCGAATATGGCCCATTTTGCACACCCCTAATGCTTATGATGTATACCACAGCAGGACACATTGGGACAAACTGGTTATGTCCTGTAATTGTTGAAACAACAATCAATGCTGTGAAATGGACCTGACTCACACTTATACAAAAATGTTCCGGCATGAATGCTGCAGGTGTTTAGCACCTATGAGCAAAAGGTCATTTATTTAGGTGCATATCTATGAATTTAGCTACTTAATTTTACACAGTTCAAGAGCAGCTTCAGTGTTAAGTCAGAAAAAAGCCTTTCACATACTTTTTGGGTTTGTATAGATAACTGGGACCCACAGCTCACATCATTATATTTAGTTTTTTCCTTTATTTCAATGTATCTGCAGTAGAGACCTTCCAGACTTAAAATGTAAGACTAGTATGGAGCAGAAAAATTCAAAAGTTGTAAGATCTTTTTGTCCTCAATAAATGTAGGTTTTGAATTCTGGGACACAAATTGTAGCCTTAGAACCCATTAATCAGTTACTCAATGAATGCTAAAACAGAAACAGGAATTCACTGGATGGTTAATAAAACAAGAAAAACCTACTAAACATAATTTTAGATAATGTGAAAATAAAGTTTGCCAAAGAAACACTAGATTTCAGGGAATTACCATTCAGGTGGAAAAAAAAAGAATCAGATATGGTTTTTGCATCACAAATAAGGAAGGGAAAATTTTCCTGGCTCTAATGTTAAGTTTAGCACAACACCTTCCTTCAAAGAAATAAGAGAGTCATAACTGTTAAAAAATATTTTAGTTCTTGTAAAAATCTCTGGAGGTTCAGAAGTAGAAATCTTCCAACTTACTAGATCAAAGTATATGGTACTGTTTGCTCAACCGAGCTTCTCATTCTTCCCAAATTAATCTTTCCTATATAAATGGAGAAAAAACAATTGTAGATTTAAAAGCCAAAATTTAAGTCTTGACATCGGAATTTACTTTCCTGTGTCCTCCACAAATAGGCAGTTACAGTGGGTTGGTGCACTCTACCTATTGAGAGCTACACATGTAGTAGAGAGCAGCATAGCATAGTGATCTGGTCTGCAAGATTTGAAAATACAGAAGAAAGTATATGTGATTTGCAGAACCTGAGATATTTGACAATAAACCAAAGAGGCTTTGTATATAGGCCTGAGATGTATACGAATTCGGAATCTCTCTACTTGATTTGCTTCTTTCAGTGTTTTTCTGTACCTTACAGCCACCAGAAGAATGTTTAAAAGCCCACTTAACCAAAAGCACAACAGATTGTATGCTTTTAGTTAAGTGTGAAAGCTGTCAAAACACAGCGATATATTGGTCACATGGACCAGATGCCACAAGATGCTGAAGGCAGACAAGGTTCTTTGGGTAAATGTGATCTCTTTTATTAAACCAACTAAGCAGTCGGGGGAAAAATGTACTTTGCAAGCTTTTGGGCACAAACAAAGAACAATTTTTCTAACTAGTTAGTCTAATAAAAGAGATCACATTTACCCAAAAATTCTTGTCTGCCTGTGTCCTTAGACCAACGCAGCTACAACCAACAACCCTGCAAGATGCTGAATGCCCTCAATGGCTGTTGGATTTAGTTGGTACTGAAGGAACCTGGTACAAAGTGAGATGTCCTGGGTCCCTTTGCTGGATCATCTTAAATGGCAACTCTGCTGCTTTACAGAAGCTGGACTAGGTCAACTGACTAGCTGAGTGTGGAAGTTCTTGTGATTTTCCTTATTAAGCCAGGCCTATTCAATGTGTTAAGTACACTAAGATACTGATGTACCTATTACTTGGTCATATCTCACAATAGGCTATTGAGCTTCTGCTGCATTTAACAGTTTGTAAGTAATACCTTTCATAACTAATTACATATGTGATAGCAGATCAAGTCAGAGGGTAGATATTTTAAGTATGATTCACATGATAATCATGAAGGAACAGCTGCCTGGCACATTTTCTTATGGCTTGACTAAAAACCCATAGAAGTCCATAAGAGCTTTTTCATTGACTCACTAGGTTTTGGATCAGTCCTTTTTCAGTGCTTTATTGCTTCTAGTCACAGCCATGTGATCTTGGACTAATGTCTTTGACTAATGTGCCATTACGTGCACTTGAGTTTGTCATGGAACAGGCCTAAAATCCAGGAAAAGGAGAAATTATTAGGAAGTCTGGAAAGGAAAAGCCATTTTAAGTTCTAGAATGCTAAAAATGATATATGTTTATTTGATTTGCTACCAAAAATGGCATGCTTTAATTAATTATCCCAATACAATACAACCTCCTTAGAACAACTCCCACACATCAGTTATAGCAGGAGGAATCTATTTGATCATTATTAGACTTAGCTGTCTAATGTAGCCAACACTGTTTCTTGACAAGCATTTTCTCCCAGTCCCATGGGGTCGTACTGTACTGAACCCAAGTTGGAGCTTCCTAATGAACTTCCTTGTTGCAGCAGTTGTAATTGCTGACATGTGCTGAGTTCTGTGTTGAGCAAGCACTGCCGGGCATCACAGTACGTTGCAGAACCTCCAGTTGCATGGCGTGGGCTTTTGTATCTTTGTCCCCTGCTTCCCTTCTTGTTGCTTCGGAAAGAGGGACCAGGTTTTATCCGGGTCAAAAAAAAAGCCAACTGATTTTCTGATGTGATGCTTTCAGAGTTTTGCTAAACCAAGGTTTTATGATGCTGGGGACTAGATCTACAACCCCTTAGTCATACAAACCACATCCATGAGTTCTCAGAGGACTGTTGTGTGGTGGGATCTCTAGTGGGTATAATTTCTTGTGTCTATAAGTCTGTTTCCTCTCTGGGCCTGTAAAGCTCCACACACCCATATTATGATGCCCATGGACTTTCAGGAGTGATTTTTATCCTCCTGTGGACTTTTTTTCTTTCTTTTTTTTTTGGGGGGGGGGGGGGGGTTTGGGGGG